CTGTCTCCAGCCTCTCTCAAACTGGTTCTTGCTGTTTCCATCATTCTTGGAGATCAATTTCCAGTATTTCAGCTTTCTTTGCAAATTAGGTGGAAAGGGGACCTGAAGAGGAGGAGAAAGCTCAAGGGCAGTGCAGACATGGTTTGAAGGGACCCTAGGCAGAAGACAGCATGCACAAGATGGAGCTAGGGACCTGTACTCCAGCAGTTGTCATGGCATGAAACTACTTTGGGAATAACACTGAGAGGTCTGTAGGACAATAGTAACAGTGATTGACTCACTTCTGTGAGTTGGTGCCTGAGAAAGAATTAAAACTAACTGTAAGACTTCCATGGGCCTAAGAAGTTGTAATTTTGATTAAAAGCTGGATGTCACTTAAAGGACTATCAAAAACATGTTTCTGATAAATGTACCTCATTGTATCAATGGCAGAGGTTTCCCTTGACACAACAAAACAGATATTCCTCCAAGCTGCATACCTCTGTCTTGTTGAGCCACCCATGTGCATTGCTACTGGACCAGGACTGATTTTGACGGAACACTGGTGTGGCAGCACGGATGCTCCCACTGCTGCATTGCTGCAGGGAAGCAGAGGACAGCAACCTTAGCTTCTGCCCAGCATTTTAGATGGTTCTAAACTGCCTTGTTCCTAATACAAGGGTCCATGGTGAAAGACTGACACCTACTCAATGTCTTGGGACAGGGCTGGAGATCAGCTCCAAGAAGGTGCAAGGACAGAGCTGGTGATAGGAGCCCCAGCACCTCTGCTAGGAGAAATGCAGATGAGCCAGTGGTGTCAGTGCTGAAGTTACGTGTTTCATACCCCTTCTGCTTGTATTATAGTATGTCTCACTCCTATTTCAGAGATGCCAAACCTGTCCCCACTGAAATACCACCTAACACTCAAATGACTGGGACAATACGTACTATCTCAGGGACTGCTGAAACAAAGTATACAATTTCTTTCAGAATTCAGCACATACACTGTACACAAACATAGAAGAAAATCTGTTATGGGAATGTTTAAATGCTAATAGGCTCATTTTTCTACAAGCAAAGCATCTACTGATTTTTTTTTCTTTGAAAAAAAAAAAAACAAAACCAACCCATGGGAATAGGCACCAATTGTCTTGGTTAATTTGGACAGCAAATAATTTAGGTTTTGATGACAGAGAAAATTCTGAGTCAGTTCCTCAATATATTGAAGTTAATGGCAAACTCTTCTCATCTTGGTCATTTTGTGATGTGCAGCTAACTCCTGACATGCAAATTGCATGACATACAATTGATTAGCCTGCAGGGCACATTTGACAATAGGGGTTAATTTATTTTGCATGCTTACGTATTTACATTCCTTCCCTCCCTATGAAAAATAAAGATCAAGAGAAGTATCTTGGTCTTCAAGAACAAGAAGCACATTTCACTGTCACATTAAGACAATTTTTCTTTAGCAGACTACAACTCTGGGTTTTGGGTTGAGTCATTGATTTATATCCAATGCAACAAATTCATACAGCACTAATTGTTAGCGCAGGCATCAAATGTTAAGTAAGAAGGATTAAAGGCTGCTCAGGCATACCAGAGCTCTTCCCAATAAGACAAATTACAGCTATTATTTTATATCAATGAACTGTAATAATCTTGAATTCCCTGCACTGGAATGAAAATTTGTGATAATGAACTCTTATCTACCTTACCTTCTAGCCTGCGATAATCAGGGTACTTCTTCGGTAGCTAAGAGGATATTTCTCATGTCAGCTTTGCTCATATGATTTAACAAAATACATTTTAAAAATCAGTCTTCCAATCAGACAATATGTTTATTGTGATTAATGCTCAAGTAGAGTTGTTCACCGTGGAGGTCTAAAAATAATGTGATTTTAAAAATAATGTTTCCCACAGGAGTTAACACCTGGACTTCAGAAATAAGGAATAAAGTCTGAATGCACCACTCACCCTTTGCACTGCTGATCTTTGCAGAGCAGAGAAAGTTTTAACTAAAGTAGTTGCTGCCTTTAGTTTTGTGATCATTTTTTAAAAATTGGTTTAACCTCTGGCTTTCTGTGCTAGCATGAAGCTGACTCCTCTGCAACCTCTTAGACTTATTCAGTGCTTAAGTCCCCACCTGGGTGGGAGCAGCTTGGAGTTTTCATTTGGAACTAGCAGGAGGTGTCGCTGGATGAAAGCAAGGGTAATCCTCTCAGCATGCAATTCAGAAGCAATTCTAAGCAGGTCTTAAAAGATGAAATCAGCTGAAGAAATGGATCACCTAGAGATTGGTTCTGTGATATTTGGTGTTTAAAAGCCTATCTGCACTGCCTCTCCTACTCCATCAGTGAAGCAGGTGTGCATTGCTCAGCATAGGTCCAGCACAGTGCTGTCGCTGGGCTGTGTGTGTGCAGTCTGCGCAGGCAGCCTTGCCCACCCCAGGAGATCCTTGATTACCAGGCTAAGGTTCTGCTTTTCTGGCAGAAGAATTACATGGTAGCCTCATGAGGGAAAAAAATGTCAAAAAACTCCTTTTTGTTTCCATCAGCCCCATTTGTCAGTGGACAGCACAAGGGATGGGAGTTCCTGGTACCTGCTTCCTCCAGCATGGCCCAGGAACTCGGTTCTGCACCACACTGCCTCTAAGCAAGCGCCACAGCTACCCAAAAGGGAGAGGTAGCAGCATCCAAGGCCGTCAGCCTCTAAGATATTACCAAAAAGCACAACACTTACTGATCCTTATCACAGAATTTCTCAAGTTGGAAGGGGCCCTTAAGGATCATTGAGTCCAACTCCCTGCTCCTTGCAGAACTACCTAAAACTACATTGTATGACCAAGAGCATCATCCAGATGCGACGCTCCTTGAACTGACAGGCTTGGTGCTGTGACCACTTCTCTGGGGAACCTGTTATGGACACTAAGGCAAAATTGCCTTAAAAAATACTGTAGAAAAGGAAAATGCATGCAGATACTTATATGATATTGCGCTTATGTGTCTAAATTTGTGCATTCTAGACTGTGGAAAAGAGGCAAGAGCAGGATCACAGGGGGAAATGCTTGCTTTCAGGAACAGTGATAGCCGTTTCCTCTGTCAGTGATCCCTCATCGTTATCCCATTTTTCCATCCTTGGCTACTCTTGATTCATCCCAGGTAGAACATTATAAAAAAGAAACTTCAGGAAGAGACAGCAAGACATCTACAGAGATTTCTGTTGGGGTTTCAGTCTCCTAGACAAAGCTGCCGAGATCTTTTGAAACAGCAAACCACTCCTGCGTCCTCCAACTGACCAACCTACAGCCCAGCTCCTGCCTCTCCCTTCTCCGCATCAATACTGTCCCTGTGCATTTCAACTGTTTCAGCAATGTCTGCATACATTCCTCTTCTGCCACATTAGGTTTTTTGGGGAAGAAGTATTTCATCATCCTTTGAACTCACACATTTGCTTCATCACACGCTATACTTGCAGTAGGCAAATAAAGTTTGTTCAGCTTTCAAGAATTAGAAGACTGGGCTCCTGAAAAAGCAAACAATTTGTACATGCACTAATTATGACCTCTCTAACATTCTTGTGCTCTTCTTTGAAATAGACTTAGGTACTCATTTCCAGTATTGCTAATTTAATTGTTTTCTAGGACCTCTGATAGTCAAGACACTTACATCCTTACAAACTACCACTGCTGTGGATGTGGGTGACAAGAGCAGATGGAAGAAAAAAAAAAAAAAATCCCATCTTTTGGACTTCTCCAGTCCTGCAGAGAGCAACTGAGCATGAAGCAGGCCAGCACCACCTTACTGAGAGTGAATCTGGATGCAAGCTGTGCATTAACACCACACATGGGATGGTCAAGTTCCCAAGAACGGCAGAGACACTAACTCTTTACAGATTAATGGTGCGTTCTGTACATTTTAAAGAGGATGACAGAGTGAGTGATAAAGGAAGAATCACACTAGTTATTAAGTACCAGAGGGAGGACCCTAGCTTCCAAAAAAACTGCCATTATGCATAACTAGCTTTGACAGAAAAGTCTTGAAACACTTCCCTGCTAAAAAAAAATTAAAAAATAAAAAAATAAAAGAGGGGGGGAAATTGGAAACAGCGTTTAATTCACCTTGTCTTTAAATACTGTCTAGTAACAGCCTAGATTAGCAGAGTGAAGTAACAAAGGGCATGAATTCAGTCATCATTAGGGTACCATAAGACATAGGCACAATGTGTGAAAGACTTGCAGCATAAAGTGGCATGGGGAGTGTTGGTTAGGTTTTTATTATTTTTATGGAGTTTTTGTTGCTGTTCATGTTTGTTTGCTTTTTTAAACTTTGGTGGCTCCCTTTAGTCTTACAATGGGAAGGTATATTCCACCTTTCTGGGAGACTTTCACCATCTATATCAAAGCAAATGAATGCACATGCCTAGGGAGGCACAGACAGTACAAAACACTAATTCAGCATTACCGTTGTTCATGTTTTCACAATTTATTTTGCCATTTTAAAAAAGTGTCACATTGCTTTAAGAAATGAAAGAATATTTGTTAAAAGTTGAAACCTTACCCTTAGTTAAACCACAGTCAAAGGAATAATCTTGACCTGAATAGCATTATGTATGTTGAAAGCATCAGCCAGCAAGTGGCCTGGCCTTGCTTTACATAGGTATATTCCCTCTAAACAAAATTACAGGTTGTCCAAATTTACAAGCAACACAAGTATTGCTCATCCACAACTTCAATGCAACTGCTTACAAACAAGAGTCAGAAAACATTCTGTGTCAGCACACCACAGAAAACAGTGTAGCTAAAATAAAAGCAGCCAGCCAATCAGCAAGATATATAAATCAGTATGCAGAACATACGCGCTCAAACTGGAACTTACCACAACATGGGAAAACCACTTTTTGCTTCCGGCCTTGCCCATGAACAATCAAAAAGCAAGCGTGCAGCACCCATGTTCTTTCCTCTTAATGTCAGCTTACAAATACTGCAAAGCTACTATGATCTTATAGTCTTCCAAGGCAACTTGTTGTCTTTCTAAAAGGCTAATGTACTTTGTATGGATCCAAAGATGGATTTGTGGCTGTCAAACAATCCATCTGGTTTCTAAAACTGAACACTATTTTTTAGTTCACTGCATTTTATATTGATAGCAAAATAAAGTATTTGACTTTGAACTACACCCACATGCAATCAAACATGGACAAGGAGACAACATTTGCAACATTACTGGTATGACACAACACTCTGTGTATGACTTTGGGTATCAGAGTTAGAACATCATGTCATCTAGTCCATCCTCCATAAATTTCTTGTAAATTGCCATAAACTTTGCTACAAATGCTTCCAGATGATAAATGGCTTTGCTGCCCAGTTGCAGGCGGTGTTCATAGAAGGCTGCCATCTGTGCAACTTCTCCTTTCAGTTGTCCATCACAGTTATTTAGAAGTTCTGTCAGTAGGCCCTAAAAGGGGAAAAAACAGAACAGTATTTGAAAAGTTATTTATTTTTTGTTAAAAGGATAATAGAATTTCTTTGAAAATGGACAAACTATGACCAACAGTTCACTCATTAATCCAACAGAAAAGACATTCAATAATCATTACACCATCTATATGACAGAATTAGATTCATGGAACCATGTCTCTTCAGAACTTTCTTTCAAGATAAATTTCTCATGCCAAAAGAGATGTCACCTAATGTGTTCTTAGGTGGGAAAAATCATATATTGGAACAACTTACGCCTTAATACAGAAAAATTAACCTCATCGTCACATACTATAAACTCTACCTCATGCAGGCACATGGCCCTGGGGACAATTTTTACCAAGATAGCAAGTGTATTAAAATCACTTACTTCCTATCTCGACATTATTGAGCACAAAGAGAAGCAACATTAATAATTAACAAGAAAAGAGCTTATTTAAATTTTAAGTATCTGTTTACATTTATGTGTAGACACACACAAGATACTTAACAATACTTCAGTCGTTATAAAAACAAAAAATGTATTATTTTAGATCCAGGACAGCAACAAAATCATTGCAAATCCATCTCTATTAAACTGGTCACAATTAAGTGCGAAGTATCTCTAGACCATTTCAAGTTTGTGAAGAGGGAGTGGGTAGAGAACATCCACCTTCAGCCTGACGACAACCCTCAAACAGGGCAATGCAGGATCCACTAACCTACCTTAAGAAATGAAGGTAGATTATACATCTAACTACCAAAACTGTCAGAAAGCAGAAAACAGTTATTGAGAAAATAAATTTATTATCTTGTAATTATATCTGATGGCAAAGTTCACCCAGGGTAAGTTGCAAACATTAGCTTTAATCTTTGTTCTGCTCTTGTTGTCTTCAGCATCCTTTCATCCTGCCTAAAATAAAAAACATGCGTTTCCCATTTGCTTTTTTTCCTCTCAAGATGACTTCTGTCTTTGAAGAGACCTGCTGGTCTAGCATCCTTCAGCAAACCTCTCCACTAGGATGTAGCAAATATTGAACTTACAACAACAGAATTTTCACAAAAGAAGACAAACCATATCAAAAGTAGCCCATAAATTATGTCTGAGCTTCAATACAGAAACTGGCCTCAGAAGTCTTCAGGGGGACAAAGCATGTCCTCTTTTTTTTTTTTTCTTTTTTTACTCAGCTATGGTGTTGCTGTTCTGCGATCACAGAACAAGTTTTAGCAAACCGTTCAACAGAGGTGTGAAGAAAGAAGTCTGCAACAAAAATAAACCAGACATTTACATTTTCTGAATTACAGAACATAATCTTCCTGCTTCCAAAATCTACACAACTCAAAGCCATCATGGCTAAATGTATTTATTTAACCTAACTAAACAGTCTAGTATTAACCAACTGAGGATCATGAGAAGTGAATGCCATGTATCAGTATTTGCAGGAACAAAGTCTTTAATTACTGCTTCAGAGCGATACCCTGGACTATTTGGGTTACTCCAGTGGAAAGAAACACAACAGAAAAGCATCTTTTGGTAACTCACGTCTCTTTGGAAAGGACACAGGTTTTCATCAGTATTTGGATAATTTGTGATTTTTGGTGTTTTGTTTCTTTTTTTAAACTCAAATTGAGACTGTTATAGCATTAATATTTATAACACATTAAGAGCTAGACAGCTGAATTACCTTCATTATAATCTCAGGAGGAATGCAGTGTGTTAGGAGCTCATAAAGCCGTCCACGGACCTCTAAAAGCCTGTTGAAAAGATATCACAAAATACCATTAGTACGCTTTGGAGACATAATTCTATGTTTTCACTATTTGTGAAACATGCTGCAGGGGGAAAAAAAAGTCAACCCAAGCAAAGTTTTTCCCCATTTTTGGTTTCGTGTGTGATTTTAAACCCCAAAGCATTGCACAAGTCAGTCTCATATCACTTTTTATTAAAACAGTAAAATAAGTTACATATACTCTAGCTACAAGAGTTTCAGTTAACTTCCTAGAAGCTACAAGGCTATTAGAATTTGCCTCAGGCTTGTCTCCCTTTAATTTCTCTTCATATCTAAATTAATAGTCATGCTTAAGATTAGTGAGAAGACAACACAAAATGTATTAGAGCCACAAGATTTGTTTACACTGTCTTTCTATCTTCACTGGTTACAACACAGGGCAAGACAATTAGGTGGCAGGAAGTGACACAGTTATCAATTCTCAGCTTTGGATATCTGGAGGTCAGAGGCTACAAGCATTTAAATTAAATACAAGAATTTAAGTGACATGTCATGTAACATATGGCACAGACTAAAAAGATCAAGCTGTATATATGACACTGAGATGGATAAAGGGGGCATTTCCTAATGTGCTTTAAAAAAAAGCAATGATTTCTTATTTCCAGTTCTTTTACGAAGGTGCATTATGCTAAAGATGGTGAAACAGAAGCCTAAACTGAAACAAACAAAAATAACTCCAATCCCCCCTCCAACCCCCCCCCCCAAAAAAAAAAAAAGACAGACAGCACAACATGCAAATAGTCTTATGCTCACTTTTGATTACAAAGGTTCAAGAAAGAAAAATCAACAACTGTTTAAGTTCCTGAAGCTCATTCAGCCTCCTCTGGTAATTTTAAAAGCTTACTTCCTCTGTCTGCAAAGTACCAGCTCCAGTAGAAATGTCAGAAAATTACAAATAACTAAAGTAAAGATGCCACACTTTAAATGTGACCTTTTTTTTTAGGTTCAAAAGAACATCAAAAACAGAATTTATAGCTGCAAGCAAGTGTATTCACCTACCTTTGCGGTGTCTGTTGACCAACAATAGCGTTTGCAGTTTCTCTCAAATAAACTTCCCAGTCCATCTCAGGAATGTCTTGATCAGCAGTAAAAGGATACCTACATAATAATATATTCTTTAAAAATTAAAATCAAAACAAACAGTCACCTATTCTAACCAGGTCTCAGAAATAAGTTAATTTATGCATCAGAGTATAATTTACATTAATTTTTAGCAGTGACTTACTGTTGTACTCTGCAGGACTCACACATAAGTAATGCTTTCCGAAGATTCCTGCCAGATTTCTCTGCAAGCCTTTGAGCCAGTTCCTGAGGAAGAGTCAGGCCTTCTTTCTTACACACACTGGACAAGACATGGCAGATCTAGATAGGAAACAGATATCAGGGAGTACAACACTTAGCAATCAGTTTAGCACCTACAGATTCTCCTGTTTGAAACATTTCTGGACCAGAGATGGACCAGTCTTTCATAACACATCCTTGACAAGTCACTCAAAAACTAAGTCACTTTGTGGAAGTAAAATATTTCGTAAGTCCACAGCAAGAATTTATCTAGTAAAAAGTTTTAAATAACTTATTTTTGCTTCTGTTTCAACATACATCTTCAATGCTGGGAGCAGGCACTCGTACAGCCAGGCATCTGCTTTGAATAGGTCCTATAATTTTTGACATGGAGTTGCAGCACAGGATCAACCTGCAAGTCGCCATGTACTTCTCCATTGTTCTTCGCAAAGCATGCTGAGCGTCTTTCGTGAGTTTGTCGACTTCTGTTAACAGCACCACTGAAAAAGGATTAAAAATAGTGGGGTTTGTTTACTGATATCAAATCTCACCAAGCAAATGAGTACTTTGACGTACAAATGATAACACCAAAAATAAATGATACAAGCAGGAAAAGGCAGCATGGTTCCACAGGAAGGAAAATAAAGATTAAGACAACCTGCGTGCCTTTTTGACTGTATAATCTTCTGCTCCTTCATACCCTATATTATCGTCCTGGAATGTCAACTTCTTCTGCAACACTTCAGTGACAAGAAATAATACAGGTAGGTGTAGAAGCTTTCACTTTGATAATTACTACAGTAACTTTTGAAGGAATTTCTAAGTAAGAAATGCAAAAGAATTTATGACATAAGAACATATCAATAAGTTTTTGGTTTTTGAGAACTCCCCTCAATACATTCTCTATTTCAAAGCCAATGCCTTAGCTTAACAAAGGAGTACCATAGTAGAAAGCTGCCTTGTTGTAGCTGCAGTGCCTTTCCATGGAAGCAGCTGACCTGACCAGCTACCTTCTGCAGTTCTTCCCATAGGTAACTCCTAGATGGCTCATTTCAGTACTCTGAATGGTCCAGCGAGAACAGTCGGAGGAACAAGTCAGTCCATTACCCTTCTCCCAGTTCTCTTCTGGTTACACACGCAGCCTAAGGAGACTGGCCAGCTTACCACGGCTTACCAGATACTTTGAGCTGCATGGTGTAACGGCAGCTGTAAGGATGTAAAAACCAGTAACCACTAGAGCCAACCAATGTCTAGCAGCTCAGATGAAATATAGTATTTCCTGAGAATAGTGAGGAAAATGAGGAAAAAGTACTAAATCCATGACCATTTTCAACTAATTTCTTCTGTAGTCTATCTGTCAAGATTTCCAATCTCTTTTAATCTCATTAGATAGTTCTGATTTTGCTTTCCATTTAGTTACAAGGAGGAAAAACAAGCCAGTTGTAGCAACACGTGTCTTGGAAAACTCAATGAAAGACTTCTTCATTTTCTTACCTAATGTCCTTTTGTACACTAGGTATAGCTCATCCCCCAAAATGCTCCAAATAAGTGGCTAACACCCAACGTACACAGCACTGTTCGCCATAAGGTTATTCTGCCCCTCAACTCAAATATTAAGCCTCAGTAGCTCATAACTCAACTGCTACTGTAGAACATGAAACTAAATTACAGTACAT